AATTTAGTTATATTAGTTTCCCAGATAAACGAATTTTTGTATTTAATTCATATGGGAGGTTCCGCTCCCCTCATTGGTAGTCCCCCAGTTTATTACTCAAAATGTTTACATGGATATTAAAGTTCTTCCAGAACAACATCATTTAAAGGGATCACAAAGAGATTGAAAAATATTCCAAAAGTTTCACTTTAAAAACATTATTAGAATGTATGAAAACTCGCAACTCTAAAGGAAGACTATTCCTATTTTAGTGGTATTTTATGATTAAAATAAGTAAGAAGTAAGAGTTATATTCGGCAAATCATATGTCGTAAAAAAGCAAATTTCGGAAGTGGTCCGATCATTAGATTAATAAGAACGTCACCGTGATTTTCGGATTAGGGACTTAAATGTGGAATTGGATCAATAATATATATAATTTAAAGTATTTTTTTTTAATTCTACCATAATTCTATCATAATGATAACTTTTGGAATGATGTATTAGCTATAAACTGATTTTCTGTAAGAGGGTTATATTGGCGGACCGATCCTCATAATTTTATTTTTCATAAATGTAGGTTTCGGTTCCTAAAAATGTTTATTTCGTCGACATCGACATTTGAAAGCCATTTTTATGTGCGTTTAAGTCATTTTCTGAAGAAGATTTCATTACATATTTTCATTCCAACAAAAATTGTTTTATTATGGTATTATTAAGTACGTAGAAAACGTTAAAATTAATTATTGAAGGGGGCAGGGTCAACTATGGCCTATAGAGATTTCGATTGATATCGAGCCCTTTTTGCAAAATGGACGTAAGCGAGTTAAATTTTCGTTCCATTAGGATACTGCGTGTTTAATTTTATGTTTATATATTCAATATTTTAGAAAATTCAAAAAGTACCAGTTAAAGAACGAAAAATTACCAGAAATACTCCATTTTAAATTTTCATTCACTCAAGTCCCTGATTGCTCAGTTTTATGTTTTTAGGTTCATTATAAAAGAAAATCCAAATAGTACAAGTTGAAGAACGAAAAAGTACCAAAAAGTCCCGTTTTATATGTTCTCACTTACTCCATGTTCAATATTATAGAAAATTCAAAAAATTCCTTTTGAAGAACGAAAAAGTACCAAAAAGTTCCCTTTTATATGTTATTACTTAATCCGGGCTGTACATTCCTAAATTCATGTTGCTAGGTTCAATATTATAAAAAATTCAAAAAGTACCAGTCGAAGAACGAAAAATAGAAAAACCCAAAAAGTACCTTTTGAAGAACGAAAAAGTACCAAAAAGTCCACTTTTATAGATTCTCAAGTGCTTAATTACATGTTTCTAAGTTCTAAGTCAAAAAAGTACCAGTGCAACATCGTATTGGGAGCCCGTTATTATGTATTCATATGTATAAGTTAATAAACCAAAAACAATGTTTTATAAAAAAGTACCAAAAATAGGTACAATTTTCACCGCTTAAACGTCCGAATATCCAAAAAGTACTAAATTCATATTTTTATTTGTTCGTCAAGTTCGTCAAGTCTGGTTTAAAAAAAAGATACATGGGGTGCAAAAGAAGTACCAAATTTGAAAAAAGTACCAGACACCTGCCCGCTTATTTTTTAAATGAACGACGATACGCTTTAAACTGTTTTTGTATCTTTTAAAGTTTAGGAGATATGAGGTTACCGAATTTACCCGTTTTTACCATTTTTAACCCCCTAATCATTCGAATTTCCAAAAATCCCGTCTAAGTGGATCTATTTGGTGGGAGACCAACCTCTTGTCTAAATTTCAGCTCTTTAGCTAAAACCGTTTAGGCTCTACGATGATGAATCAGTCAGTCAGTCAGTAACGTTAGAATTTTATATATGTATGTATGTATATAGATTTCGTGCATTGAATTATACTGTAAAAACATTGTAATGTTCGACTTGAATTCAAGTTTCGTTTTCACTGGAGAATGCTATTGAATTAAAGTGTATTTCAACACTTGAAATTTGAATGTTTGACTGGAATTAAACTTGTTTTAAACTTTAATTCCAGCAAGAATGCTTATTTGGTATAGTGTGACAACTATAAGGGACCTAAAGTCGACATAAAGCCCACAATGGTTAGTACCAATATTTTGCCCAAACAACATCTACATACCTAGCCAGGTTATATCCTCTAGGTCGTGAAGACATTCTCTACAAAGCTATAAATTTGTATAAAAGGCGGCTTAACAATTGTTTCTTGTAAATATTCGGCCACCATAGTGTTTGGAGACAAGAGCTTCACTGAAAGGCACACCAGACAGACATCGCGCTCTATTATGGGTGTATGGTAGTGATTCTGCTGAGATCAATGGTATAATAATAAGTATGTATCCCAAGGATACCCCCTGAATACGGCAATCAGCTTCCGTCCATTGCCTCTAGGTGATAATATACCATGTCACCACTAGCCGACCGACCACCACCCGCCTAGGTGACTAGGGAGGTATATAATTGCCACTCTCTTGTGGGCATTCTTCCAGGAGACCATCATGATGCCTCCTCTTTCTTGAAAAGAAAGACGTTCTTTATAGACAAATAAATAATTAATTATCACCATTACTTACATTTTTTAATCTTCTAGATCTCACAAATATGCCAAATATAGATTTCGATAAACACTTTTGGGTATTAAACGAAAACAAACCCCGCCTTAAAAAAATTTCATCATAATTATTAACAATTTAACTAAATTCAACCCAACACTAGCTGTTTCTTTGTACAATGACCCTCGGTATAGTAGTATAGCATACAATCTTATTAATTTCAATTTTTAGTAAAAAATTATTTTTTTATTTAAAGAATATCATTTCTGTCATTTTAGATTTTTGCACACACACAACAACAGATTTTTTGTGGCAAATAAAAAAATGCAGAAAACAGCTTGGCGCGAAAAATTCTAGCAGAATTTCTTTTCGCAGTCGGCAGAATTGACATCAACTGCACTTCCTATTTGAAATACACATGTTCGATACCCTAGCCCTTTACGGTATGACATACCAGCAATGTAAAAAGGTGTAGCTCCGTTGACGTCAACGAAGCTGGTTTGAAGTCAAAGCAGCGACTCGAATTAGGCGCGAAAACACGAAAATATCTGAGGCGAAGCATATACATCGAACGTTGAGCAAAGTTCTACACCGGCCAAATTTCAATGAGCGGCTTATTATTAGACAAAAGAAAACTTGCTTAAATGAAAACAAATTAATTTTATATTGTAAAATTCCACAAATTTAGCGAAAGTATTCTGTAAATTGTACAAAATATGGCGAAATTTTCAAGCCGTATTAAGCTGAAAAATTTTCGGCGGTGGCGGCTTTGACATTTTGTTCGGCGGCTAGGCTTAGTCGGCTTAAGCCGAATCAGCGCAAGTCTCTGGACAACAGCTGACTTTGGCGCTGTTTTATTATATACAAAAGGAAATTGTTATAAAATTCTGATGACATATCGTAAAATTTATTATGATATCAGTGTTCCCAAAATGGTGGCATTCCCGATAGATTAAAAAAAATCAATATTTCGAAAAAATCCGTTGAGTTTTTAAATTGCAAAATATTTTTGTCCCCACTATAAAGGGGAAGCTTTTATGCTAAGGTTTTTAATACCCTAAAAAAATGGCCTAAACCCAGGGTTCAGAATCACTTTTCGCGTGTGTGGCATTGTGCGTGCGTTACAGGTTTCAGTTGTAATGATTATTTGATGAAATTTAACACATACTCTTGCCTTGGGGAAAATTTTATATAAGTTGACAATAAAATTAAAATTTAGTGAAAAACTGGTTAAAATATAATAATAATTACAAATAAATAATTACACTCTTTCATATTATCAAACAAATATCGTAAAAACGAGTTGCCAATTTAAAGACATATACAGAACCTGAAATTTATGTAAATAGTAACGTGTGCACTAAAGACAGAGCTGCCTAATCCAATTGTAAATAAATCGTAAATTTACCGATAAATTTAAATTAATCCTAATTTTTTGTTTTAACTATTCAGAAAGCAAAGAAATAATTTAAAAATGTTTACTCTTTATTTAAATAAAGAAGAAAAATACAACAAAATAAATATTCAACATTATGTAGAATTAAAAAAATACCGGTAAAATCGCCACTTTCCTATTTTTGAAACAAAAAAATCGGCATATCTGGCAGCTATGACAACAGCTGTTAAAAATTACTTATTTTAGAGATTTTTGCAAAATCTATTTTTATTAGAGAAAATTAAATTATTTTTAAAGTAATAAAGCACAAATAAACATGACAGAAGTAGAAGTGAATCCTGTAGCTGAACGTCTTAAGTTGGGACCTCGTGAGGGTGTTACCTATCCCTTGGTAGTAAACTATTGTGGTAATTGTTCCATGCCCATAGAGGTAAGTGCATGAAATGCAAATGTAATTGCAATAAAAATGAAAAATCAATCATTTTCTTTTTCCAAAGTATTGTGAATATTATCCCGAGTATGAGAAATGTAAGACATGGTTGGAAAAGAATTTACCTACAGAATTTGAGCGAGTTAAATTGGAGGAAGAAGCCGGCGATGGTGATGATGACAAGAAAAGACAAAAACGTGGCGGTAAAGGTTTGTTGAAAATCAAAAAGAAAGAGGAGGTCACCAAAAGAATTACAGTGTCTAGAGCTCCTAGAGGTAAAAAGAAGTCAGTGACGGTGGTCACCGGTTTAAGCACTTTTGGTAAGTTTGAGTGTGTTATTAAAAATTGTAATATTACAAATATTATGGAATTTTTATTGCACAGAAATCGATTTGAAAGTGGCAGCCAAATTCTTTGGTTCGAAATTTGCTTGCGGCTCTTCGGTAACCGGTGAAGATGAAATTGTTATTCAAGGTGATGTCAAAGATGATCTATTCGATGTTATACCCGACAAATGGCCATCAATTGATGCCGATTATATTGAGGATTTGGGTGATCAGAAGCGTTAAATTTGTTGGTTTTAATAAAACTAACGAGAAAATAATAAATTAAAAAAGCATTTTAAATAAATAGTATTTTATTTATATTTTAATTAGTTTCTTGTGGAGGTCCGGGAAAGTGGGTTTTGGCTATTTCTATGATTTGGGCAACTTGTTCCTCCGTTAAACGTTCTTCACTGTCCTCAATTAGCTGGAAGTTAAAGCAAATATTTACTTAATTAACAAATAACGTATGTATGTAAATGAATTTACTACATACCAGTTGTATATGTAAAGCACTGGAAGGTGGATCATTGACCATCATTAGACACTCATTTGTTGTTAATTTATAGGGCTGCATATCATTAATAAAGGCCACAATGGCTTCACGATTTTGATGTTTACTGGGAGAATCTTCCAAAAATTGCAAAGTTTCATAGGCAATTGTGGCCAAATTTCTCAAACCATATTTCTTTTTAGTATCTTTGATATTTTTAAGAGACTCCATTACCTCGTAATTGGACAACACCGAGAAGCAGGGATTAACACTAAACATTTTAAGGAATACTAATTAAAAGACTTGTAATTATTTAACTTTAATAAAAACTTACATTTCCATTTTAATTTATTAGTTTTTATTTATTTAGCAATTGTTTACAATTTTGTCTTAAAAAACTATCTCGTGTAAACAAATGCTTTTTAATGGCAACATTTCTAGAGTTACCGTTCCTTTGATATTTTACTTAGAAATGTGGCAGCTTTTTTCCATTTAGCCGCTTAATGTAGGGTTCTATAAATCGACTTTCGAATAATCGAACAATCGACTTTTTGTCGAAAAAAGTCGAAAAGTAGAAGTCGACTATTTTGTTCCAAAAAAGTCGATAACTCGACTATCGTCTATGAAAAAAGTCGAAAAGTCGACTTTGTAAATAAAAGTCGAAAAGTCAAAAAATCGGAAAGTTGAAAAAAGTCGAAAAGTCGAAAAGTCGGAAAGAGTCGAAAAGTCGGAAAGAGTCGAAAAGAGTCGAAAATTTTAAAAAAGTGGAAAAGAGGTAAAAAACTCTAAAATAGTCGGAAAAACTCGAAAAAAGTAAAAAAATAGTCGAAAATAGTCGAAAAAAAAGTCGAAATAAATCGAAAATAGTCAAAATGTCGTAAAAAATCAAAAAGTCGAAAAAAGTCGAAAAGTCGAAAAAAGTCGGAAAAAGTCGAAAAGTCGGAAAAAGTCGACCATTAAAATACTAAAAGTCGAAAAGTCTAAAAGTCGACTTTTAAATAAATGAAAAGGTCGAAAAGTCGAAAAATCGACTTTTCATAAAATGGAAAAAATCGAAAGGTCGAAAAGTCGACTTTTAACTAAATACAAAAGTCGAAAAGTCGACTTTTCGTTTCAACTATAGAACCCTAGCTTAATGTATGTAGTATGGCAAGGCGAATTCACATAAGGTGGTGTTATTCAATCAGCTGATTATTTTTTTCTTCACTTGGCTGGTACGCACTGATGTCAGAGTTTGTTATTGTTTACACTTTTATATTTAAATATTTCCGTTAAAATTCACACAACTTTTGAGCTTGATCTGCTTTGTTGTTATAAACAATATATTTGCTTCCAAAATCCTACTTTCTGATCTCTCGGATTCCGTTTTTATTTAAAATCGTTGAAAAATTAAAAACTAAACGTAGTTGAAAACTTAGCCGGCTTACAGTCGATTTTAAGCCGCCGCCGACATATTTAGTGTCAGTCGCCGCCGCCGTTAATATTTGTCGGCGCAGGGCTCTGGCATATAACGCGCCAATTCTTATTTGCATTTGTTTAGTTGTCTGCTGGAAATTGTTTAGTTTTTGTGTAAAATTGTGAAAATTAAAATAAATTAATTAAAAGTGTAATATAAATTTTAGAAATAATGGATATAGACAACACATTAAATGAAGATACATTGATGGATTGTGATATAGACGATGAAACATTACAAATCATTGGCCCCAGCAAAAGTATAGAGGTTGGTACAAAAATTGTTTTATATTAAAAAAAGGATTCCTTTGTTTAGGTTATGTTGAATTGAGCCACATATTTGCTGCAGATTTATTAGATGGCTTAGGAATTAAGAATGTACTCTAAATAGTTGCTCAATCATAAGTAATAAGTAAAACAAGCAGTCCTTGTAAAATCCTAGTCCATGATAATTCTTTCTGTTAAATCTCTGCAGACTGAAGAATGAAATTTCCAAAAATTTTTAGTGTTAATCAGAATTTATTGATATCGAAAATTAAATTCAAAACAAAATATCCGCTGCCCAAAAGAGGAAACAAATATGAAACGGGACCAAAAAAAAAATCATTTAAAAAGCATGAAGATTGGCTACCAAATCAGAACAAATTGGACCGGTAAAACGTATTCTGTATAAATGTACGGTTTTAGGCATGATAGAGACTGGTGGATAGGTCACTGGGTATGACAATGATAAATAGTACAAAATGTTCAGTAAATCTACACTCCGGCAAAAAAAATCTAAAACAACTAAAAATATCTATGACACCTTACACCAGGGTGTCTGTGCATGACCTCCTTCAACAGGAAGTATGTTAAAAATTGACTATTTTTTATAATTTGTATCTTAATTCCGAAATAACAAATTTGATTTTCTGAACGAGGGATTATATGGGGGCAAGTTTAAATATGGGTATATCCTTATAAATTCTGCAGTTAAAGATATTTGTGCATCGTGATACTAGTGTTCGTAAGTGAATTATTAACTTTTAAACCACCTTCTAAAGAGCCCATTGTATGAGGTCTTGGGTCAAATAAGGCCCGATCATTACGAAAATTGGGTTATATACTCCTAGTTTTACTAAATGTTTCGGACGAAGATAATTGATTGATAAAACGTAAGATAATAAGTAGAACTCCAGCATTACTATTTATTTTTTTTTTAAATTTTGCGAAATAGGATTCAATGCGATTGGACAGTGTGACACCCCCGACAATAGCATCGAAGATTTACTGTAAACAACGATAATTATTTTAAAAACAAAATATATTTTTTCTGCAAAAAGCATTAGAGGACAATTAGACGAGAGGTAAAACCAAACGAATCTCATAGTGAAAGAGATAATAGTCGTGTTCTCGATTAAAATTTGCCATTAACAATATTAATTTATAGAACAAGTCTTTTGTTAAAAAAGTATAAAGTTTTTGATGAGCGAAAACGAAAAAGTGATGAAAGTAGCTTAATATTGCAATTAAATGCTAAGAAGAATAGCAGTAGTTATAAGTAGAAAAGTGAAGATATAAATTAGGAAAAACTTTTAGAAATCCGCAGAAGATATGGAAACAAATCATGGCAAAAGAGGTCTAACACTAGCCAAATAGAAAATTCTAAAAAAATTTAAAACAAACCATTTTTCCTCCACAACAACTATTATTTCAGAAGCCCAAAACGCACAAACGTAAAAAACTACGACGATTAGTAGATACCGGAGATATGGATAAAAATAAACGATCATCCCACAAATGTAAACGTATTTTAATAATTACAGCCTTAATAACATTCACTATTGCCCTGCTAATGGGTCATTATTTTACACAAAATAATTCCAATACAAAACAAATACTCAAAGAGTTCCTTAAAAATTATCGCAACCAATACACGGAAATAGTACATGGTAAAAACAATTATTGTGATCAAAAACAACCACTTGACACTGCAACATTATTTGCACGTATAAAACAAAATCATATATTGCATCAAGAACAGGCAATGCAACAAATTGAGGTGGCATTAAGAAATGAAAGTGATTTAAATGCCATTGCTTTGGTGGGACCAACAGGTGTGGGAAAAACACTTTTTATGGGAGCATTACAGGAAAATTTCCCCTGGCAAGAAAATGTACACACTTACGCTTGGAATACGTATGTTAAAGATGAAGCTGAAAAATTCCATTTAATAAGAATACTCATAGAAAATCTCTCAGAATGTGGACAAAATTTGTTGGTCATTGAGAATTTGCAAGCCTGTGATCATGGTGTAATACCCATAATCAATCAGTTATTGATTGAAGCTAATAAAAAACAACATAAACGTGTTGTAATATTTTATGTATTTAATTTAAATACAATGTTGACTGCAGAAACATATGTTACACAAAGAGATTTATTGCAATCCTTGCCCGATTGTCAAGTAATAAATTTTAAATCCTTTAAACAGGCTGAATTAAGAGATTGTATAAAACGTGAGGCAGAAATAGAGCATGTGACATTAAGGAAACAAGATTATGACGAAATTGTGGACACAATTGACCCCCTTAAATCTGGCTGTAAGAATGTCAATGCCAAAGTATTAATGTATCACACAATAAAGAACCAAAAGGATAATATTTAATAAACCTAAATTCCTTATTAAAATTTATACCAAAATTTAAAGGACGACTGACATTTTAGTTGTTAAGTATGTTTAGTTAATTTTTTATGTTATATAAATTTATTTATTCGTTAATTATTAATTTGTAAAATATATTTTTAAACTGATATTAAAATAAAAAGCCCAAAAGAACTTTATATAAAATATCAAAAGAAATGAAAAAACACCAAATAAAGAAAACGGAGTAAAATAATATTTGCAATTTAAAACCTTTCGTTTTGTTTTCAAACATGCTAACAATGTTTCATAGATGACAAGCATTCTATGCACAAATAACGAATGCGTAATATTCCACCGATGTTTTTAGGTTTGTTTGTTGGTTGGTTGGTAACATCATGTTTTCAAATGTCATGATATCAAATTATTAGATTTCATTCAGTTTTAGCATTTTTGTTTGTTCCACTTTTTTTGAGATGTTAAAACATAAAAAACCCTTTAAGCGTTTATGTGTATTGTTTTTTATTGTGGTTGCCACTGGTTGCGTACATTTACATACAGTGTAAAGGAAGAACAACGGTTTATTAAATAACTTATTAAAAATTCACACACTTATTGAAATATGTATAAAATGTACATTTATATTTGCGAAACTTCCATTATTTGATTGAAATCTGCAAGTATAATAAAGTACACATTCATACATATACTTTCCAGACAATGAAATATCAATAGAATATATAATGCATAAATATTTCAACTTACAGAATTCAATGTTTATAAACATCACACAATACCTTTGCATACTTTACGGCTAGAAATAAAATTGGCTAATTTTATTTAATTTAATGCCGATTTTATTCCTTTATAAAAATTCAATTTATAAAGGCCTAAAGGATTACATTTATTTTGTCGACTGGAGGCTTATTTAAGCAGTTAGAGCTGATTTTAGTTTTTCATATAAAACATTGATTTTTTTGGAAATAAAAGTGAGAACAGATTTTCAATATATTGTCGATTGGAGGCTTATTTAAGGACCTACATCCGATTTTAGTTTTTCATATAAAAAAATTGATTTTGGTAGGAAATAAAAGTGATCACAGATTTTCAATATTTTGTCAATTGGAGGCTTATTAAGGGAGCTAGAGCCGATTATAGTTTTTCATATAAAAAAAATAGATTTTTGGTAGGAAATACAAGTGATCATAGATTTTCAATGTTTTGTCGATTGGAGGCTTATTTAAGGAGCTAGAGCCGATTTAAGTTTTTCATATATTTTATTTATTTATTTATTAACTTAAACCTAAGAATAAATTCTAAGTCTAAGAAAAATAGCATAGAGCACCAGCATCTGCGGCCATCAGCTCGTAATTGTAC